GTGGGGGTGGGGGTGGGGGTGGGGGGGTTTATCGCCCCCTGTCAGTGTTAGTAGGAACTGCTGGTCCAGCTCATTAACAGTAAGTAACCCCAGTACTTTTACTGTGGGGGGGTTGTGTGCAGCTGCTTCCTGTTTGTGTTTCACAATAAATGCACGTTAGTGTGAAGGAAGTGGTTGAGCTTTACTGTGAAATGAGATTCAGTCTTAATGTGCAAAATGCTCGATGTCAGAGGTTGAAGCTTTTCGCTGCAGGAGAGTGGGACTGACTGTGTCTCTGTCTCCCCCTGCAGGACATGCTNCTCTCACACACACACACACACACTGACACGTGTTGTGTAGTGTGTGGATCCTCCTCACAGTCTCACGCTGTGTCCACCTGCCGCTCAGAGTCACGCTCTCGTCCAGCTGCAGTTTCTCTCTGGAAACCTCAAAGTTTGACTCTGAGCTCGCTGCGATCATGTGACCTCATCCTGCTGCGGCCCGACGGCGAGCGGAGAAACCCGCGGGACACTTTCTGCTTCTCAATCCTCTTATCAACAGGTTGTGAAGCTCAACAGGTCCTGGGTGGGGGTGGGGGTGGGGGTGGGGGTGGGGGGGTTTATCGCCCCCTGTCAGTGTTAGTAGGAACTGCTGGTCCAGCTCATTAACAGTAAGTAACCCCAGTACTTTTACTGTGGGGGGGTTGTGTGCAGCTGCTTCCTGTTTGTGTTTCACAATAAATGCACGTTAGTGTGAAGGAAGTGGTTGAGCTTTACTGTGAAATGAGATTCAGTCTTAATGTGCAAAATGAAGCTCGACGTCAGAGGTTGAAGCTTTTCGCTGCAGGAGAGTGGGACTGACTGTGTCTCTGTCTCCCCCTGCAGGACATGCTGCAGCACTACGACTTCAGCAAGTTCCCGTCTCTGAAGATGAAGCTGATCGAGTCGGTGGATAAGATGCTGGCCACAAAGATCGCCGTCCTGATGGCGATGATCCGGGAGGAGGAGTCCAAGCAGCCGCCGGCCATGGTGTCGGGCGGCGCCTTCGAAGGGTCTCAGGACGGGCCCTTCGGTCAGGGCTACGGCGAGGGCATCAGCGCCGGGGCCGACGCCGAGGACTGGATCGTGAGCCGCGACAAGCACCGCTACGACGAGATCTTCTACACGCTGATGCCCATCAACGGCAAGATCACCGGCGTCAACGCCAAGAAGGAGATGATGAACTCGCGGCTGCCCAACACCGTGCTGGGGAAGATCTGGAAGCTGGCCGACTGCGACCGGGACGGCATGCTGGACGACGAGGAATTCGCCCTCGCGCAGCACCTCATCAAGGTCAAACTGGAGGGCTACGAGCTGCCCACCGACCTGCCCGACCACCTGGTGCCCCCCTCCCACCGCAAGAACCCCACCGCGGACGCCCTGTACAACCACACCGAGGACTAGAGCGCCAGCGGGGCGCGAGCGAGCCGCCAAAGAGACTGAGTGAGCTGAGAGGAGGACGTAAGAAATCACCACAGATCAACATTTCTGCTGCTGACGTTCAGACTGACAGAGGAACCAATCAGCATGCTGACAGAAGGTCAAAGGTCAAAGTTTAGGTGTCTTATACTAAAGAACTCGTTGCCAAGGTGATCTCCAACATCGCTTTTTATGTGTTTAAATAACCGGCCAGCAAAGTAACCAACTAACTAAGAGACTGAGGCAAAATATTCTGCTTTTATTTTGGTAAGAGTTTCTATGTTGTGTAATTCAGCTGATTTCAAAGCACCAAAGAAGAAAAGTGACAAACTTCCTGCGTAACGTAACGTCGCCTCATGTTTTACTAACTCTGGTTTAGTTCGCTTTTATTGTGAAAGGGGACAGTGTTTCCTCATATTTAACCCTTTAAACCTTTTTTTCCCGCCTTCATATTTGTATGTATCTAAATGACATCACCTGCAGTATATTAGCGTAAGTTGCTTGTAGCGTCACTGATGCGAATCAAACAGATTAAAATTTAATGGCGTCTATCAGCCGCAGAGGTAAACACACCGATCAGTTTTCACACTGAACGCTCGCCACAGTGTTCAGAGTTTGGAGCTTCTCTGCTCCAACTGTCCGTCCAGAATGACCCACAATGACCCTGAATGACCCTGAATGACCCACAATGACCCACAATGACCCTGAATGACCCACAATGACCCAGAATGACCCACAATGACCCACAATGACCCTGAATGACCCACAATGACCCACAATGACCCTGAATGACCCACAATGACCCTGAATGACCCTGAATGACCCACAATGACCCACAATGACCCACAATGACCCACAATGACCCTGAATGACCCACAATGACCCTGAATGACTATGACATTCCTCCTACTCTCTAAAATGACAAAAATAACGATGTCCATATAAACACAAAGAGACTTTATATTGAAAATGTTTTATTTTCACAACAGAGACAGAAAAGAAATTATCACATCATCAGAAATATGTTTTTTCCATATTTTTTTTACTCGTAAACAGAAAATATTTTAGGATTTTAACTTAATAAATGACTCACACGATGAGTTCCTGTAGGTGGACTGATTGTTTGAGCTCTTGAGTTTAGTATTTCAGAATAAAACTCATCATAATTAGCCTGAATCGCTACAGTCACGATGAGCTTTCCTGAAACTGTAAAAATGTGACAGATGTCAGTTTATTTTTATTTATACTGTAAAACATTTTCACAAACGATGACCAAAGAGTTTCACAGAGAGCTGATGGACACAGTCAGAGTCCTCGTCTTCACTATAAAACAGATCCTCAAAATATTTTATCATTAAGAATTATATTTAAACAATAGAATGACACGTGTAGATGATGTAACAGGTTTGGGGGGTCATGACCTCTGCAGGAACACAAACACTGTCTTCACTTTAAAACTCTTGGCAGGAAGCTGTTACTCTCCTCCACGTGACGCACGAGCACAGATGTAGTCCCAGACCAGGACGCAGGGTTCAGGGCGTCCTCAGAGGGTCAAAGGTCGGAGCCCGTCCTGTTTGAACAGCAGACAGTCGTCTGCCGTTAACTCGTCCTCGGGGCGGGCGGCGTCCTGAAACGCGTCGCAGTCGACAGTTTGTGTCCACTCGCTTTAGTTTCCTCGCATTGTAAACATCAGCAGAGGAGAGGAGAGGAGAGCGGTGACCTCTGACCTCTGCTGACTGCACACCTTCCTCCCTGTACCGCCCTCTGAAAACAAGAGTGAAGCAGCAGCTTTTCTGGGTCTGTGCCGTCGACTGGGGAAGAAACACTTTCCACTGAAATGAGTCGATACACGCAGCAAATAAAAGGCTGTGAATGTTCCTTTAACCAGGAAGTTAAATCAAAACAAAAAATATTTTCTATCCGTCTGCATCTCTTTGTTTAAAGCGCCATAATTTCTTCTTCTTCTATGTTTTATTTGAAGTGTTGATCCATCAGAAGATATAAAAACCATCTCAGTGTAGTTTTACATCTCCTCTCTCAGGCTTCTCTCTGGAGCTCTAGTAACAACAGGTCGGTGAGCCAATCAGAAGAGAGGAGGCTCTGAGCCTCTCCTCTGATTGGCTGACTGTTTTCTGAGTGATCCAATAAAAATAAAGCAGATTTCAGGTAAAAACACTCAGAGAAACCAAATCCTGCAAGGTTTGGATGGTGGGTCCAGGTGGGCGGGGCTTGGTGACTGCTTTGTTGTGACATCACAAAGTTCCAGAAGTCCTGACGGCTGGTTTTAAGGCTCAGTTTCTGAATACAGGCTGTGTGCATTTCTCTGTGGACTGAGGCTTTGATACTTTCACAGTATTAATATAGAAGCTAGAGCTGATCTATAATCACACTACACATGGACACAGACCTTTACACTGGAGGAGAACGACAAAACTAAAGAGTGAAAATACTTTTGGAAAAGAATGTGAAAGGAAACATTTAAATTTAACAAAATTTAACAACAGGAAACAACAGATTAAAAATAAATACAACTGCATTTCATCAGAGGTTTAATGATGATTCTTCTGTTTCTAGATGATGATAAATGTCCACTCCCCTCACGTCATTACCATAAAGAGCCGTGCCACAGGATGTAGCTGGAACTATGTAAATACGCACCAGCACTGTCCATTAGCTGCTGTAAATCTGCTGATGCCAGCCGTAACTATTCAGCCCACAGCGCCACCTAGTGCTTTTAGCAGCTGACTGCATCGCGTCAAGAGCTTTGAACAAAGCCGACTCGTCCTTTAAACGCAGCTCAGACCTCCACAGCAGTGCCTGCTCCTCTCAAGCCTCCCCCGGATAAAACAGACTTATTTTCAGGCTGAGTTTGGTGAACACGTTTTCTCCAGCAGTGCCTCCTTGCTCCTGCCTTACACCAAGCTTTCATTTGAAATCATGCTACGTGTCAGGTCTGTGTGTTTCACACTGTTTTTAAAAGCCTCTGTTCCTATGACGGGACGGAGGTTCGTCCTCGAGGATCCAGCAGCTCCTGGTCAGTGCCTTTAATACGCAACAAACAACAATCACAGTAAAAGAGTCGAGTTTGTTCTATTGACCAGAAACTTCTCTGATCAAACTGTCCTTGCATTTGATTTTTACCATAAGGGAACATCTGTACAGTCAGCAGTCCTCTCTGTCTCTCATTTAAACTCCTCAGTGAATAAAGTCAAACATTTCATTCTGATCACTTTCTCTGTAAAGACGCTTCACTCAGTCAAACTGTTCATTCAATGACAAATCAAACCTGCATTTATCTGAATGTACAAGTTGTTATTTTTGTGAGTTTGGTGTATTTTGTATTCCTCGTTGTGTGTGGATGTGTTTCCTGATGATGCAGCTCCGCCTCTCGTCCTGTCCGCAGAGCTGGAGACTAATAAAGTTTATTCAGTACACACACTTCAGGTTGTGGTGGTTAAAGCTTCATTTACATTTTACTTCAGATTCACGTTTTACATGGAAAAACATTCAGAGCATGAAATGTGATCCATGCATACACGGCCAAAAGTATGTGGACACCTGAACATTACAGTCATGTGATGGACCAGCTGTTGGGTGATGAGTCTGCATCACTTTAATGTAGCAGCTGCTAAAGGTGGAACTGATTTTACCTACTTTAAATTTTCCCAAGTCAAGAAAGTTTTCTGTTCATCTGTAATAATTTAATTGTTGATTAGATTTTTTATAATTAATCTGAATCTATTCTTACATATAAAGACATATATCAAAATTAAAAAGCAAAACCAGATAAATTAATAAATTCAATAAATGAATAATAAATAAAAATGACATTATTGTCCAGGAGAAATAAAATCACAGAAGTTTTAAAAAAGAAATGATGGTGCAGATGAGTTAAGATGAATTGTGACTTTCTGCTTGTACGTCAAAGGGCAAATTCACACAAAGGACTCCCAGTTAACACCTACACAGGGACTATTTCTTCAGCAGAAAGTAGTTCCGGTTACAGCTGCCTCCAGGGTTCTCAGTGAGACAAACAGTGGTAGTTACATAACGTCCTGTTTCCCTGTAGAAGCTGCAGTCAGGTTGTGTTGGCAGGATGAGGGATGCACCAGTGTCATTAGTCTTAATTCAGAAAGGAAACACACACACACACACACACACACACACACACACACACACATATTCTCAACAGTTTCCTCCTTCCTACTGTTTCCTCTGCAGATTGATGTCCCTTCAGTGAATAATAAATCATGAAGACCGGCAGGAAGTGTTTGTTTGATTAAACCGTGTGTCTGCTCAGTGTGGTGTGTTCGTGTGCGTTCAGCGTCTGAGTGAGAAGCTCTGCAGTTTAAAGGGAGGTCAGAGTGACAGGAGACGACAACCATCAACCGCAACTGACACGTGTTTTCAATCCTTCAGAGCCATTCAACAAATCCTCTGGTTTCCTGACCTGCCATATTGTGTGACAGTGAAGTTCTGTGGGATTGTTTTGAAAGAAATGACCTTGTTGGTGCATTCAAGGAAACTATAGTTAAACTCACGTCATCAGCGACTGTCACCTCTGCATGTAAACGCTTTAAAATGAGCTCAGCTGAAGAGTTCATCCACCAGAGGAACTGAACACTGAATCCATAATATTTAAACTTTGTTCCACTCAGAACGTTCTTAGAAAGTTCCACCGCAGCTTTAAAAATGTGAGTTAACTGAACTCAGGTTTAAAGCTAAAGATATTTTCTTCTTCTTCTGTGGTTTATTTGAAGTGTTGATCCATAAGAAGATATAAAAACCATCTCAGTGTAGTTTCACATCTCCTCTCTCACCAGGACTTCACATGTTACAGACACAGCAGGTCTGATGACAGGATAAGTGACTCATTCACTCATTCACTCATTCACTCATTCAACGAGCTGAGTGAACTTCAGCAGGCCATTCATTCATTCACCGCAAATTAAAACTGGACATAAACAATTAACAAAACGAGACATTCTCCTGTCATTCAGCTCACTGTGACGTGTGTGTGTGTGTGTGTGTGTGTGTGGGGTTGTTGTGTGAACTTTGACCCCTACAGGTTTCTGCCACTGTCAGGTGGATCTGCTCATGCTGTAAATCCAATGGCTTCAAAGTTCACACCACACACACACACACACACACACACACACACACACACACACACACACACACACACACACACACACACACACACACACACACACAAATCACGTGAAAACGCGGGTTTTCTATAGTGACAGTTGGTTCAGACTCTCTCTCTCTCTCTGTGTTGGATCAGAGAGAGATTTGTTTTTCCAACACGTCTTTGGATCTCTCACTCTGTCTGAAACAATAAGGACAAGACTGGAAGGTAAGCAGCAGCTTCTCCTGCTTCTCCTTTCGTCTTTCTTTGTGTCTTTAGTTTTTATGTCGATGCCAAAGAGTCAGACATCAGTGAGTGTGTCTCTGTGTCTGTGTTATCTCAGTCCTTTAGTCCTCAGATTGTGCATCTATAGATACATACTCATACATACTTCTACTTTGATGCTTTAAGAACATTTATCTGTTGATACTTGAATAAATACAATTAGACTTTTACTTGTAATGGAGTATTTTCACCGTCGTATCAGTGACTTTTACTTCAGGATCTGAGTTCTTCTACCGCCAGAGGAAACTCAATCCACCTTCCAGCACTTGACTCGTGTGTTTTTGATAGTTACTGGACA